GGGTGATGGGGAGAACTCTTGCAGATTATCCTTTCAAAATTTCTCCTGGCTTGGAAGAATCAGAACTCATATTTTGTCACATCAAAAACTGTGACATGACAAAGACACATACATTATTTCACATTTCTCCCAGTGTCTACCTCTATGTTTCTACTAATATACTTCTGAAGATTTCAACATCACTTCCACAGAACGAAGATTTCATCTCCACTGAAGAGACCTCTTTTCCAGATCATGTGCCATGGTAGGGCATAGCCTAAGCCTGACCTTTGGGTGAAAACTATTATTGCCAATTAAAATTTACATATTTTGTTTCCTTCTAAATAGATACCCAGTTTCCCCAACACTTATAACAACTAAACACAAAATCAGTAAAACTGTACAATATCTGAATGGCACTATCAACTATACTCACTAAATTTCATTTATAGAATACTAGAACAATTGCAGAAACACATATGTTTCAAGTGTACATGAAACATTCATAAAGATAGACCACATGTTAGACAATAAAATAACTCTGAATAAATTTCAAAAGATTGAAATCATAAGAGTATGTTATCTGAACACAAAATAATTAAAAATCAACATTAAAAATATCTACAAAAGACCCAAATATTTCAAAAAACATTTAATAGTCTAACCCTTTAGTAAAAGACAAAATCACCAGGAAGCTAAAAAATATTTCGAACTAGACTGGGCACAGTGGCTCATGTTTATAATCCCATCACTTTGGGAGGCCAAGGCAGGAAGATCACTGGAGGCCAAGAGTTCGAGGACAACGCACTGAGACCTATCTGTACAAAAAATTAAAAATTAGCTGGCCCTGATGGCACATGCCTGTAATGCTAGCAATTTAGGTGACTGAGATGGGAGGATCACCTGAGCCCAGGGGTTCAAGGTTATAATGAGCTATACTGATCCTGTCTCTATGAAAAAAGAAAAGAAAAAAGGAAGGGAAGGGAAGGGGAAGGGAGGGGAGGGAAGGGAGAGAAATCCTGTCATTTTCATTTGCAGCAACATGGATGAAACTGGAGAACACTGTGTTAAGTGAAAAGAGCCAGGCCACACACAGAAAGACAAATTTCATGTTTTCAGTCATATAAGGGAGCTAAAAGCTAAAACAAACTTATGGAGATAGAGAGTAGACTAATAGTTACTAGAGTCTGAGAAGGGTAGCAGGGAGTCAGGTAGTAGTGGGGATGGTTAATGGGTACAAAAACGTGGTTAGAATAAGAGGCTCTAGCATTTGATAACACAACAGAGTGACTAAAGTCAATGATAATTTATTGTATATTTTTAAATAACTAAGAGTGAAATTGGAATGTTCTTAACACAAAAGAAAATAATAAATACTTGAGGTGAGAAATATCCCAATTACCCTTAGGTGATTATCACACATTATGTATGTCTGAATCAAAACATCACACATACTCCATAAATACATACACCTATTATGGACCCATAATAATTAAAACTGAAATTTTTTTTAAAAAGAAGCCAAAGAGGAAAAAACACCAAAAGGAGTAAAGGTAAAAATTACATTCAATTTCTCCTCAGAAACCATTCAAGAAAGAAGAAAATGAATTTGAGAGGCTAAAGGAAACAGATTACTTGAGCCTAGGAGCTTAAAACCAGCCTGGGCAAAATGGTGAACCCCATCTCTACTAAAAACACAAAAATTAGCCAGGCGTGGTGGTGCACACCTGTAGTCCCAGCTACTCAAGAGGCATTGCTCGAACCCGGGAGGCAGAGGTTGCACTGAGCCAAAACCATGCCACTGCATGCCAGCCTGGGTGACAGAGTGAGAATCTGTCTAGAAAAAGAAATTCTGTCTCTACCAGAAAAAAATACAAAAATTAGCTCAGTGTGGTGGCATGCACCTGTAGTCCCAGCTACTTGTGGGGCTGAAGTGGGAGAATCACCTGAGCCCAGGGAGTTAGAGGTTGCAGTGAACTGTGACTGTACCACTGCAGCACTCCAGCCTGAACAATACGGTGAGATTCTGTCTCAAAAAATAAAAAAAGAGAGAGAATGAACTAAAATATTTAAAATATTCAGAGAAAAGAAAAAAAAGAAGGAAGAAAGAAAAATATCACTCTGAATTCTGTGCCCTGTGAAATTATACTTCGAAAGTGAAGGATAATAAAGATTTCCACAAACACTGGGGGAATCTGTTGCCAGTAGACTTACCTTGCAAGAAACATTAAAATAGATTCTTCAAAGAAAAGGAAAATGTTACAGGTCGGAAACTTGAATCTATTAATATATAAAGGAAGAGCACTGGAGAAGGAATACTTGAAGATAAATACTTATTTTTCTTGTTTTAATCTTAAGAGCAGCCAGACAAGGAAAAGACAAACCACTTTCAAAAAGCAGTAATATGACTAAAATCTAACTCCTCCAGAGCCACAAAGGAAACCGAAAAGCAATTGAATATAATATGCAGAGAGAAAATAACTGCTCATCTAGAATTCTACAGCCACTAAAATATCTCTCAAGAAAGATAATGAAATAAAGACATTTTCAAACAACCAAACAAATTGAGAGGTGGTACCACCAACAGACCCTCAATAGATGAAATTCTAAAGGGAAGACCTCAGGAAGGCAGAAGAAAAGTAATTATAGGTCCAGATGCGGTGGCTCACGTCTGCAATCCCAGCACTTTGGGAGGCCAAGGCGGGTGGATCACTTCACATTCAAGACCATCCTGGCCAACATGATGAAATCCCATCTATACTAAAAATACAAAAATTAACCAAATGTGGTAGCACATGCCTAGAACCCAGGCTACTCAGGAAGCTGAGGCAGGAGAATCTCTTGAACCCAGGAGGCAGAGGCTGCAGTAAGCCAGGAATGTGCCACTGTACGCCAGCCTGGGTAACAGAGCAAGGCCCAGTCTCAAAAAAAAAAAAAAAAAAAAAAAAAGTAATTCTAGATAGAAGTCTAGAGATTCAAGATGAAATAAAAAATATGCATAGTAGTAAATATATAGGTAAACATAAACAAAATTTAATCAAATTTGACTACATAAAGTAGAAAAATGCATAATAATATAATCATCTAGTGGGAGTAAAAACAGGCATTAAAATGCCAACAATACAAATATATTAGTTGGGAGCATAGTAAATGGAATTCTAGGGTTTTGAGGTCTTTAAATTATCAGTGTTAACAACAAAGGTTTTGTTTTACTTTATACTTGGAACAATTTAAGACCACACATTACACATTACACTTCTAGGTGGGATACAGTATATTGGAACAGACCAATGCTCCTGCTAAAGCAACTAGAGAAACTATAAACCAGGCTGATGTATCTATAAATGCTTGTTGCCTGGAAATATTTGCTAAGACTAAGAACATTCTATGACTAAGAACAAGAGGTTGAAAACCTGGATTTTGTTCAAGCAAAGTGCTATTGTTAGGCAAGAAGGAAACTAGCTAGGTTTTAGAGGTCTTGCAAGACTGTTGAATGAGGAAAAACTGAATCAGTTTTTCCAATAAGACACATGCCAAATTTTGAAACTATAACATAGAGGCTAAAAGCTAAGCAGAAAGTCTTGGAAAAGCAAAACAGGCTTTCTGGCGGTCTTTTGGTGCCAAGATAAAAATTAGTGTTTGGGACTTGTGGAGGTGAGATGACCACACCAGGCTCTCAGTTCCCTAGAGACCACAAACCAAAAGAACCTTAGTCTAAATGCCTGCCAGAGAAAAAGAAAAATAGTGGCATTTGGAACTTCTATGATCTTTCATATACAATGTATAATATTCAATCAAAAATTACTAGGTATACCAAGAGACACTGAAAATCAAGGCAATTTGGCCTTTCTTTTATAATACAATTTATAATTTATAACACAATGTACTTTAAAGTCCTCATCTGAATGCTGATGAAAACATTTTTGCAGATGTACAAGTTTTTCATTATTAGAATGGTAAATAACAGAGAACTTACCATATTTCTAAATTCCATGAACAAGTAACTTTCATCTTTCTTCAGAACTATTAGAACTACATAATTCTCAATATTGCTCATACAGAATACTCATTTAATCTTACCTATTATATATGTATTTGGTCCTCAGCACTTTTACTCTATTTCTTTAAACATTTTCATCTTATTGAGAATGTGCTGTTCAAAAATTGCCTTCCAATACCAACAACTAAAGCACTTTCTTTCCAGCTTTTCCTAAAACTTGTAAACTTCTTTCTCATTGCACATTCTGCTTCTTTTACATACTAAAAATGTAATAACTATAGCTTTAAAAAGACAAAATATGTGAAAATACTTTGAAAACTGTAGGTCTCCACGTAAATACAGTGGCATTATTCCTATTAATTAATATAAGAAAAGCCTGGAATTTTTTTAATACATTCAACTAAGGGTCATGAATTTGTTGCTTTTTAATAGAACAAAATCAAAAATGGAATCCCTCTAAGTAATAATGAAGAGGTCATATAAAATTAAATATACAGGTAATCATGGATTTCTCAGGGCCTATTTAGATTCTAGTTTCTCTACCTATAACAACATGATTCTTAAGTTTGTTTTTATTCAGTCTGTGACTCTGTACCTAGCTAACCACATAGCTATTGCATTATTGCAGCAAAAACTTCATTTAGTTAAACCAATCATAAGTAACAAAAAAATGAGTACTCTCTCAGCTATAAGTTAAATGTCATATTTACACAGACTTAGAATATACACAGAAGATAAAAGTTCTGTAAGACAAAGAAATAAGTCTTTTTCTTTCTAATGAAAACTGAGTACCTGTCACAAGAAGTAACCTAATTAGATAAATTAAAATATCTTTATTAATGAACCTGGAAAATTTTGACAGTATGGCAATGACTTATATAAGCACAATAGTGAAGAGGAAGTAACCTTTGTGCTTCATGCAAATAAGGGGTCTTTGTACATTTGACTACCCAGATAGAAAAAGGTAGCTTCTGTTTGGATAAAAGAAAAACAGTGGTAATAATTAAACATATATGCTCACCTTGTAAAAATTCCTCCTTGCAAGCAATGAAGTAGAAGAAAACAATGCTGACTTTCTTGGCCTCCTTTCTTTAAATCAGCCTTGAACCAAGAATAACTAAAACACTGAACCACAAGTGTTCCAAAAAGCATAAAGCTTAATGCTAAAACACTAAAAACATACTGTCCTTCATGGAAAAATCTGACAGATACCCATATGTCCACAATTAAATCAGTTATATAGATTATAATGCCAAGAACTGACATCATAAAATTCTGCTTAGTATATTTCATTATGAATGACTATAGCTTTTTGTTATCTACTTTTTTCTCTCTCACAAAAAGGAAAAAACCAAACAAATATTAGTATATCATTTGGTATGGCACTGAATTTTAACTTCTACTCCCTAAATCTATTTAGAAGAAAGAATAAATATTATGAAATCGGAACACTAACACCAATGTGACTGACTTTCTTTTCTAAATCTCTAATCTGGTCCAATGTTACAAGGCTTTATTCAATCTTCTGTTTCACAGTGATCTTCATTACAGTTGATAAGACCTAAAATGAAACATATATTTAAGTTCTAAAATATCTTAAGTATAATATTAAAAACATTAGGCAATGATTTTATCAAAGCTCTACTTTTTCTAAAGATAACAAATTACCACTAAATACAGTTCTTGTAATAGCTTTGGGAAAGTCTCAGAAATATACTTGATAGTTGATAACTTCCTCTCAGGCTATTTATGTTTCAAAAATATGACCTACGCACAAAAGTATTTACAAAAGGACTATTTATAGTGGCAAATTGGAAACAACCTAAATGTTTCAACATAAGGAAATGATAAAGTAAATAAAGGTAGATTCATAAAATGGAATATTACAAAACTACTAAAATATATATAACAAAGTTACAAATGTTATAAAAATTTGTAATATGCTTTTGGCCCAGCAATTCCATCTTGAATTCTATCCTAAGGAAATATTCAAAAATGTACAAAAAGATAATCTTTACAGAACCTTTTTTATAAGAGTGAAATATTGAAAACTACCTAAATGGCAATTGAGAGGCCTAATTCAATAGATTATGGTACATCCATATTAAAGAATACACCATGCAGCCTTTAAAAAGAGTGAAGTAGCTTTGTATAAACTCACTTAGATCTTCAAGATGTATTAGGTGAAAAAAACAAATACCAGAAAGATAAATACTGTATAACATTTGTGGTTTTCAATTACATAGAGAGAGAGAAAGGGGATTGAGAGTAGGAAGCAAATGCAACTTCAGTTGTTTTCTTTCCATACCTCTATATTTTTTGAGGTGTTTTTTTTTTTCAAACAGACCTGTACTGATGTTGTTAGGTATATAATTTTTTAAATAAAAACAATAGTAAATGATACTTACGAAGAATCTCAATGACTGGAGATAATGTTTATGCTATTAATAAAAACTAACATGTACTTACCACTACCTGCCAAGCACTGAACAGAATGTTGTATATAAAATGCCCCAATTTAATTCTTCTATCACTTAAAATATAGATTCTATTATTATTATCACTATTTTATAAACATACTCTGAATGAATACAATCTGTATATAATATTTGACTCAATGGTGTTTTTTTGGTTTGTTTTCCTAATTAATTGTCAACATTTCCCAAAAAATGCAAATGTTTGACTACTATCAAAAAACAGAAAGATCTTCTATACTAGATTACTCCTTCATGAGCAGTGGCTTTAGATGGGTATATTCTCTCCTGTTCATCACAATAGCCATTTCACCCATTTCAGTCATTTCAACAGTTGGTTCTCAAAGCTAATACAGCTACCTACTAGCTGTGTGTCCTTCAATGTGTTTTTTTCAGCCTTATGCCTTATTTTCTTCATCTAAAATGTGGAGAGAATAAAGGTATATACCTTATAGGGTTGTTGTGAAGGTTAAGAAAGATAATACATGTAATACATATAAACCCCTAGAAAAGTACTTGGCACACAGTTAGGGGTCAACAAATGTTAGTTGTCATTATTACCTTGCTGACTGCTTGCCTGGCCTCTGTAAGCATAAGAGTTTGCAGTCTCTGACTTTACTTCAATGTTGAGTGAAAAAGTACTCTGGTATGATCTCAAAGGTAAGCAGGGATAAATGAGCTCTATGGCCCTGATCCAATAGGACTAGTGTTCTTACAAGAAGAGGAAGCAACACCAGAGGAAAGGCCATGTAAAAACACAAGAGGGCAGCCACTATAACCCAAGGAGAGAGAACCTCACCAGAAACCAACCCGGCTGGCACATCGATCTTGGACTTCCAGTCTCCAGAACTGTCGAAAAATTAATTTCTATTGTTTAAGCTAACTAGTCTGTGGTATTCTGCTATGGGAGCCAGACCAGTTAACAACTAAATTTCTATAAAGAATATTTATTGCTTTAAACACACCAAGTAGAATGTTTACTAAAAACACACACACACAAACTAATACTTACTGCTTTCTTATCATTTTATCACTTATAAGTATTTTGTTAAAAAGTCTTCAGAAAAATAGAAAAAGGTATTTCATTCTTCTCACAGAATAACAGTTATGATCACTGCTTCTCCCGTCAAGAATGTTATGGCCAACAGGATAGAGAGAAAAAAAAAAAACATTTTAAAAACTGAGTTTTCAAAGCATTCAAGAGGTGGACTGGCTGCTTCTAACAACCTATGCCCAGATAGATGTGTGAGCAAGGAAATGACTTAAAATTTGAATTCATATTTAAACAGGAAGCAGAGCATAAAAGTTTGAAAAATTTGCAACCTGGCCAGGTGAGAGAGAAAGAAAAAGCTTCTTCAGAAGAGGACTTCAAGGGGGCTGTAGAGCAACCACTTGCTAAAAATATTTGCATAACTAAAAGGCAGCCAACTGCTAATATCCAAGACAATGGGAAAAGGGCCTCCAATGAATTTGACAGATCTTCAAGGCAGCCCTGCCCATCACAGGCCCTGAAACCCAGGAGAACTGGGTCTCAGGGGCCAGGCACAGGGCATCACTGCTCTGTGCCACCCCAGGACACTGTTCCATGCATCCTTGCCACTCTGGCTCCAGCTATGGCTCAAAGGGGCCAAGGTATAGCTTGGGCCACTGCACAGGAAGGCATAAGCCATAAACCTTGGCGGCTTCCATGTGGTAAGCCTGTAGGTAGGCAGAGTGTAAAAGTGAAGGAGGCTTGGCAACCTCCCCCTAGATTTCAGAGGATGTATGGAAAAGCCTGGGTACCCAACCAGAAGCCTGCTACAGGGACAGAGCCCTCACAGAGAACAGCTACTGGGGCAATATGAAGGGGAAAATGTGAGGTTGTAGACCTCACACAGAATTCCCAGTAGGGCGTTGCCCTACAGGAGATGTAAGAAGGGGCTACTGTCCTCCAAACTCCAGAATGACAGAGCTACCAACAACTTACACCCTGCACCTGGAAAAGCCACAGTCACTCAACAACCTGTGAAAGCAGCCATGGAAGTGAATTCTGCAAAGCCACATGGATGGACCCTGGGAGCCCACCACCTGCACTAGTATGCATGGGATATGGGGTATGGAATCAAAGGAGATTATTTTTCAGCTTTAAGATTTAATGACTGTCCTGCTGAGTTTCAAACTTGTGTAGGGCCTGTAGCCCCTTTCTTTTGGCCAATTTCTCCATTTTGGAATGGAAATGTTTACCCAATACTACCTTGGAAGTAAATAACTTGTTTTGATTTTACAGGTTCATAGGTAAAAGGAACTCATTTCCAAATGAGACCTGGGACTTGGGACTTCTGAATTAATGTTGCAATGAGTTAAACCTTTGAGGGATTATTGGGGAGGCATGATTGTATTTTGCAATGTAAGAAGGACATGAAATTTGGGAGGCCAGGGGCAGAATGATATAGTTTGTCCCCGCCAAACCTCATGTTGAATTGTAATCCCCAATGTTGGAGGTGGGGCCAAATGGGAGGTGTCTAGGTCGTCCCTGATGTCTTGGTGCTGTCTAATAGTGAGTCAGTTCTCATGAAAACTGGTTATTGTTAAGTGTGGCACCTCCTCCGCACCTCTCTCTATAGCTCCTGCTCTCAACATGTGAGATACTTTCTTCCCTCTTCATCTTCTGTCATAATTGGAAGATTCCTGAGGCCTTGTCAGAAGCAGATGCTGGTGCTATGCTTCCTGAACCATGAAGAACTACAAGCCAATTAAACCTCTTTTTTTTTTTCTTTCCTTTTTTTTTTTTTTTTTTTTTTGAGACAGATCTTCATTCTGTCACCCAGCTTGGAATGCAGTGGTGCCATCTCAGCTCACTGCAACCTCCACCTCCGGGGTTCAAGCGATTCTCCTGCCTCAGCCTCCCAAGTAGCTGGGATTACAGGCACTCACCACGAGGCCTGGCTAATTTTTGTATATTTTTAGTAGAGATGGGGTTTCACTAGGTTGGGCAGGCTAGTTTCGAACTCCTGACCTCAAGTAATCCACCCTCCTAGGCCTCCCAGAGTGCTGGGATTACAGGCATGAGCCACCCCACCTGGCCCTCTTTTCTTATAAATTACCTAGTCTCAAGTATTTCTTTACAGCAATGCAAGAATGGCTTAACACAGTTTCAATTCATTTCCAAAGATCAACCCTAGCTATGTGGCTACCTGGCTGCCATAGAAAATACCTAACTTTTGCTCACTGTACAACTATATGAGATAAACCAGATATTTAAAGAAATTAAAACTAGGAAACTTTCACTTGTCAACCAAATTTGACACATATAAAATATAGACTTACTTGTCAAATATGAAAAGCTTCTTTGACTCAAAGTTCCTTCTGGAAAAATCTTCATCTAGGAATATTTTACTTCTTTTCCACTAAAAACAAGTATAATTAAAGAATGTGTAAACCTTTAAGATCGAATACTAAAATGAAACTGAAATCACCTGTTAGTCACATGTGGCATTTTCTAATCTAGTGATAACAGTCTGTGTCATTGTGAATACAGTACACCCTTTTATAACTATCTCATTGAGAGGAAGAAATAGCATAGGTCCTTTCATAGGTTGACTAGGTTCCAAGCTTTCACTGTATTTCTCAAAAAAGTCAAGAAAATACAATTTGCCTCACAGCATATCCAAATGGATATCATGTTTGAAAAGAAAGTTCTTAAATTTGAAATACTCTAATGAAGTATCATTAACTTAGCCCTACCTACTTTTCAACCTTATACCTTCTCAAATCTTATTCCCCAAGAGCTTATCCTGTATTCCCAAAATAAGCACTACTTTTCTTCTATTTCCAAGCCTTTGCTCAAGGTTACTTACTGTCTAGAATAACTGCCATCTACCTGATGAAATTCTGTCAATCCTTTAAGAATCAGCTCAAAACCCACGATCTTTAGGCATTCCCAGATCTTCCCAGTAAATATAATTCTCCCCTTTCTCCTGGCAATCTCATCACTATAACTGTACTTTTCTTCTAGTATTTACCCATATATGCTCTTTTTAAGGGACAAGATCTTGCTCCACCACTCAGGCTGGAGTGCAGTGGCACAATCATAGCACTCTATAACTTCAAACTCCTGGGCTCAAGCACTCCTCCAGTCTCAGCCTCACAACAGTGCTAGGATTACAGGCATGACCCACCATGCCTGGCCCCAAACATACTTTAAAAGTATCTCCTTCATGGTTATGACCCTCTAGAAAGCAAAGATTATCTTACTCATTTTTAACATGCCCTCAGTATGTCTACAATATTTTGCATGTTGTAAATAGATAATAAATTATTGTAAATGTAACTGAAGAGAACATAAAAATCTTTGATCTTATTTATTGGAGAAGAACTTAAACTTCGATCACATTTCTAAATATATTCACAAAGATTTAATTTTGTATCTGTAGCTCTCTCCTAGGTCTCTCTTCTGAGCTCAAAAAATAAATCCTTCTTTTTCTTTTCTTTTTTTTTTTTTTTTTTTTTTTTTGAGACAGAGTCTCACTCTGTTACCCAGGTTGGAGTGCAGTGCCACAGTCTCGGCTCACTGCAACCTCTACTTCCTGGGTTCAAGTGATTCTCCTACCTCAGCTTGCCAAGTAGCTGGGATTACAGGCACCCACTACCACACCCAGCTAATTTTTGTATTTTTAGTAGAGACAGGCTTTCACCATGTTGGCCAGGCTAGTCTCAAACTTCTGACCTCAAGTGATCCTCCTGCATCAGCTTACCAAAGAGTTGGGATTACAGGCATGAGCTGCCACGCCCAACCAAAAAATATATCTATTTATAGGTTTCTTTACCTAGATATACCACAATTACCTCAATTTTATCTCATCTAAAACATAATCACTATCTACTTTCTGTTTGTATTCTTCTTCTAGCATCTCCTTGTATGACCCTACGCAAGTTGCCTTACTTTTAAATCATTTGGCCCATTTCTTCATCTGCCAAATCAGGAGCTTGGCAATTGATTAAATGAAATCAAGAAGAAAAGTGCTGAATTTTGTAAGACCGAATAACAAATTATTGCAAATATTGGCTTTAAACAGCAACAAAAAAGAAAAGTGCAAGTGAAAGTTGAATTTTTTTGAAAAGAAGCTAATGAAACTGAGAGACCTTGTCTCTCATCATATACAAAAGCCAACTCAAGAAGGACTAAACATAAGACCTTAAACTGCAAAACTACTAGCAGAAAATACAGGTAAAATACATAACGACATTGGTTTAGGAAAAGATTTTATGGCCAAGACCTCGAATGCACATACAACTAAAATAAAAACAGACAAATTGGACTATGTTAAACTGAAAAAGCTTCTGCACAGCAAAGGGAACAATTAACAGAGTGAAGAGACATCTGTTGAACAGAAGAAAATCTTTGCGAACTATTCATCTGACAAGAGACTAATATCCAGAGCATACAAGGAACTCAACTCAACAAGAGAAAACCCAAATAATCCCATCAAAAAGCAGGTAAAGCACATAAATAGACAATTATCAAAAAAAGACATACAAATGGATAACATATGAAAAAATGCTCAACATCACTAATCATCAGGGAAATGCATATCAAAACCATAATTCTTAATCTTATCACAGTGAAACAAGCTGTTATTAAAAAGAAAATAACAGATGCTGGAGAGGATGTAGAGAAAAGGGAACTCTCATACACAGTTGGTGGGAATGTGAATTAGTACAACCACTGTGGAAAACAGTACAGAGATTTCTAACACACACACACACACACACACACACACACACACACACAACTACCATATAATCTAGCAATCCCACTACTATTTGTATATCAAAGGGATAACTGCATCTGCAAGTTTATTGTATGTAACATTATTCACAATAGGAAAGATATGAAATCAACCTAAAAGTCCATGAACTGGATAATGAAAATGGGATATATACACACAATAAAATACTATTTGGCCATAAAAAATAATGAAATCATGTCATTTGCAGCAACATGAATAGAATTAGAGTTTATTATGCTAAGCGAAATAATCCAGGCACAGAAAGACAAATAGCATATATTCTCATTCATATGTGGGAGTTAAAAAGTTTATCTCAGACAGGCATGGTGTTTCAGGCCTGTGATCCTAGCACTTTGGGAAACCAAAGCAGGAGGATCACCTGAATCTCTTGAGTTCAAGTGTTCCAGGTTACAGTGAGCTATGTCAGTATCGCTGCACTGCAGCCTGGGTGAGAGCCAGACCCTATACGTAAATAAGTAAGTTAAGTAAGAAAATTAATTAAGCTAAAGGATAAAAGAAAAAGAGTGCCCAGATTCTCAGGAGGAACACTATGGTCCAGAAATTACTATTACATCCTCTTCTCCAGGATTCACCGACTTTCCAGCAGAGTTCTTAAAAAGGGAAGATGCGCATAGCTTCCTGTCTGAATAGCCATTAATTGATGGCTACAGTAAATACATATTGACAGATTAAAATGCCTGATGTAGGAGATTTGGTTGGATACTTCAAGTATTTTTGAAGGTATACTGCTTAACTTCACATTGCAAAGGGAATAATTTATATGATTATTTCAGCGAAGATTTTTTTGAATACTTTTTCATTAAAAGTACAACTGTGTCAAACAAGGCAAAAACATTTCTCACACATAACGCAGGTGTCGTTAGCCAATGTGATACACTATGCTGCTGATTCATAAAATAGGTAAGTTCACAGCAGACCGTTTTTTTCATCAGAAATATCTGAAAAAATAAAAAGAAAAAGAAAAGCCGCCAAGCACTGTGTCAGTTTCTCACTTGTTTTTTAAAAAGAGTGGGCTGCTACAGTGGATAGGTTCTACATCTCTTCGGGGCAGTGATTACATACAATTGTCATAACTTGATGGACCTGACGATAGGATCTGTTTATTTTCTTTTAGGTAATTCATAACTCAACTTTTTAAATGAAAAACGGTAATTAATATTGGAAAGTTAATACTTGGCAGATTAGAAACCGACTTGTTACAAAGAAAATAAGTCCCTTCCATCTTGGGCATAAAAGGGCTTGCCCAGCCTAGCTCCCTGGACAAGTGGGTCACACTGGGAGGCTCACAGAGGGGCACACGTGCTGGTGCGAAGCAGGTAGGAGCAAGGCTGCACACGCAGACTCGTCACCTGCGCAGCCGCCCAATCCCTGTTTTTCATTTGTAACAAAAATAGCGTCCACCTCTTAATAATGTTTTGAGGATAAAATGAGTTAAGTGGGATGTTTGTGGAAAGCACTTAGGCATAGTAGGAAGTAGTAAGTAAATATGTGTTACTGCTGCTTATTATAAAAGATGAACAGGCTACTACACACACACACACACACACACACACACACACACACACACACATACACACACAGCTACCGCCTAAAAAATTTGACTGGCAATCCTTCCTAGGATTATTGAATAACTAACTGTTATCAAAAATGTCTGCCCTTTGCACCATCACAAGACTCTTCCAAATTAAAATGTCACTAACCCACTTGGATCCACTCGCCTGTCTAAGACACAAACCCGTGAAGCACCAGCCCCTGTGGCAGAGCCGGACTCCCGCCTCGCCTCACGCCGACTCGCGCCAGCCTTCCCACCACCGCCCGAGCAGCCCGCGCGGTGTCACGTGACCTCTGGTTCCGCCCCCGGCCTTCCTGCCAGATCCCCGCCCAGACGCGCCCGCGGTGTCACATGACACCCGCCCCGCCGCTGGCCAATCCTCTTCCTCCCGGCGTCACGTGGACTCTCCTCGCTGTCACCTGCCTGTTGGCTTGTTCCGAGCTGGAGAATCCGGATAGCCGACGCGCCGGCGGGCGACTGAGGCGGGAATGGCTGCTGTGCTGCAGCGCGTCGAGCGGCTGTCCAATCGAGTCGTGCGTGTGTTGGGCTGTAACCCGGGTCCCATGACCCTTCAGGGTACCAACACCTACCTAGTGGGGACCGGCCCCAGGTAAACGTCCCTCTCCAACCTCCCGACGTTTGCGGCCGCCCGCGGAGCCCGGGCTGTGACTGATCGCGGCTGCGCGGGCAGCGGGGAGGGCCGTGTCCTGTCCCGAGCCTGGCAGCTCTGCGCTGGGCAGGCCTACCCGGACTGCGCGCAGACACTCGGATCTCGGAGTTCGCTAAAATACGACCACCCCGGGTGATAGCTCTCTAGGGAGATTAGTGGAGGAAAAAAAAAAGAAACTTCCTGTTTTGATATTCGACTTACTCTCCTTGATGTTTGAATGCCAGGGTGTACGTGTTTAAACTGTTGAGAAAATTAGGATGTCTGGAGTCAAGGGTCCAAGACAGTGTTTTACTTTTACTTTCACTGGTGTTTTGTCCGGAGTATAATTTCCCTTCTCAAAAGCGATTGTGTTGAGGCGATTTTCTCAACTCAGCAGCAGAGGGCAGAATTCTTTAGGCTTCCAAATTGTTTTTCTGTAAAACCAGAAAGAGCCCCTAGCCCGTGGAATCTTAGGAGCTGACATAACTAACTTTGGGGTTTTTTGTCACAATTGTGTGTGACCCTGTTTGAGTTTAATTTGCAGACAGAGTAACATACCTGCATTTCTAAGAAGATACTTTTGCTCTTGTTCAGCTGCATTCTGGTTTCAGTGGAATTATGCAGGGATGGGAAATTTGGTTTACTGCATAGTCTTAGGCATTTAGCAACTTTTACATAGTCTTTACTGGATAATAGAGATAATGTACTTTCTTTCCAGCATAGAGTTTAATTGTGCAGTCAATTAAAAATAACTTTTAAAATATAATTGATTACTAAAAACAATTTAGTAAGTATAGTTCACTGAGTTTTCCTTGGAAGTGTCTACTGTTTGGCGTTTTACCAATAAAAAAGAATTTTAGAAGCAGCAGACCTGCAAGGCGGGCAGCTAATAGATTAAGTTCAGAGTAAACAAGGCAGGGCCAAGTAGTTACCAAAGGTTTAGGCTGCCACCAGAATCTAGGAATACAGAGCATTAAGCAGGAAAAATGCCAGATTTCTGGGGTACAGTCTGTCTTGGCTGGAAGTCCCTCAATCAAGTAAATCCATAGGTGGTCTCTCTTCAGTGTGCTGTCTTAAACTAGTTCCAAAGTTAATTCCTCAGACAAAAGATGCGTATGATCAGAATTACCCTGGAAAGCCTCTTAGAAGAACACCATGTTGTAGATAAGTGTATTGTCTCAGTAAGTTCAGCACAACCTGTCTTTTTTCCAGCGTCGAAACAGATGGCTGGTTCTGTTTGAAAACCAGATGAAGAAATTGGCTTGTGTTTAGGGGCCATGTTGTATGAAAAATACATACTGTATCTTTAAACACTAGAATCACACTCAACATAGCAAAGTGCTAGTGTTAAAAAAGACTTAAAGACTAACTGAGGGAAAGCAGATTTATAGTCTCTCATCTTAAATTACTTAACACTGTTTCTCACATAAATTAATGGAGTGGAATGGCCAGTGGAATTACTTGCACTATGTAAATTATTTCTCCATATAGTTGAACTAGAGAGTCCACATAGTTGAGCTAGAAATAATTGTAGATGATGCTACTGTATATAGTAAAAGGTGGCTAGAAATTAATATTGATCAGCCCCATGTCAGATGTTCTCAGATTGGTATCCACCTCTTCCACTTCACAAAACAGCTCTAAGATCACAAGCGGCTTTTATGTCACTAAACCCAATGGTATTTTTCTGTTCTCATCTTCATTGAACTTAAGTGTTTTGACACCACTGACCACTCCCTCCTTCATTTGCCAACACCACATTCTTCAGGTTTCCTCTTACCTCTCGAGCTGCTCTTTCTCTTTCACCTTGATTGAGTCACCTTCTTTACCAAATCTTTAATTATTTTAGTTACTCAAGATGTAATCTTCATCTCTCATGTTCTACTGCATTCTCTACTTAGGTGATCTTGTCTACTTCTTTTGCTTTACCTTTATTATCTGTTTATTATTAACTACTAAATATATATAGCTCTAGTTCAAATTCCAAACTTGATCTTCAGACTCAAGTAGCCAACTGTTAAATCTATTTGCATGACTCACTGCTGCCTGGAACTCAGTGTTTTCCATACTGAACTCATAACCTTTCCCAGGAAACTGCCAGGTCCTCTTCCAGTTGTCCATATCTTGGTAAACAAAACCATCCCTGCAATTGTCTAAAGGAAATGCGTAAATACCTTCGCTGACATTTATTTGCTTCCTACTACATAGCCAAGCCATTATGAAGCTCTCTTCATGTCCCCTGCTACCACTCAGTCCAAGCCAACACAACTTTGCTTAGGCTGCTGTAATATAAGGCTCCTAACTGGCTTCTCTGTGACTACTGTCTCTCTTCAATCCAATCTCACCTATGTAGCATAAGTGGTATTTTAAGAATGAAAATTGGAAGGCCTTCATAATCTGGCCTCCATTAGTCTTATCAGGCTCCTCTCAAACCTCTCGCATTCCAGCCATGCTGCCCTTATAGTACCTCAGATGAGGTTTATGATTTGTCTCAGGGACTTCTTACATGCTTTCCTCTTACTCCTACTCATCCCTTCCTTCTTTACCCAGCTAATCTCATTCATCCCTTAGAGCACAGTTGAAATACCATTTCCTCATAGAAGCTTTCCCTGACCCAATCAGACTGTATTAGGGGCACTCTATACTTTTTGTAGTCCTTATCTCAATGATAATGAAATGATTTTTTTGTGCAAGAAGCTTTCCACACCTTCATACCCCACTATAACATCAGTTCAGTTAAAGTATATTCATGGCTATATCCCCAGCACCTAGCACAGAGCCTTGTACACAGTACAGATAGAATAGTAAATAGTTGCTTAATTTTCACTATTATGATTCCAGGACTGTTAGATAACTATAGTTTTTAGCTGGTCTTCCTTCCTCATCTCATCAGCCCACAGACGCCAAATGAATTTCACTAAAGCACTCCTAGACCTAACTGTGATATTGAGTACATAGATACTTAATAAGCTTTAGAATTAACAAACGATAGCCAAATTGTCCAGAATTTCTACTTTCCTCCTCTGCTCAAGAACCTCTAAAAGCTGCAGTTTTTTCCTATCAAAATTGTACATACTTTCCTATCAAAATTGTACATACTTTGTGGGCAATGTGGCTTATAATAGAAAAAGGCAGTCAGGTAGAATAGAGTTAAACTCTGGACTCTGGTTACCTAGATTAGAATCCTGGTGCCATTTATTGGCCATATGACTTTGGACAAGACAATTCTAAGCATCAGATTCCTGATACAACCCAGTGAAGGTTGTATAGTACCTACCTCATTGGGATGTTATGAGGATTCACTGAAATTTAACTGAAAAAACATATATGAAAAGCACTTAAGTTCTGGCACATGGAAAACATACCATGTTAGCTGTTATTTTTATCATTCTGTTTTCCTTTTATCATCTAGACAACACTGGTCTCATAGTAAGTGCTCAGAAAATATCTAATGATTTTGTAAAATTGACAGCAGAGACCAGTTAATAGCTATCTTAATATTGACATAAAATACCTATAACAAGGAATTTGATTCTACTAATTTTCCATCAGTTGAAAATTGTTTTCTCCATTCATGTAGCAAACAGTTATTGTGTGCCTACTATGTGCCAAGCACTTTGTTCTAGTGAATAAATCGTTCATAGATCTATACACATTCATTTATACTCTTCTCTTGAGTCCTTCATTAGCATAATTTGCATTTGCATAATGACCTCCTGAGATAGGTATATTATAGTTTGTGACCATGAAAAACAAAGTTGACAAGCCCATGTAGAGATGATACTATCTGTAGTAACTATTCACAGACATCATGGATAGAGTAACTACTAAGGGAGATAACCTTTTTTTTCAATTTCAAAACTGCTAACAATTTTTTCAAATGTATAGCTGAAGTTTTATTTTTGCCACATAAAGAATGATTCCAGGTACTTAACGTAAGCAATCCCCCTCTGCTAGAGAGGCAATGTTTTGAATGGAGAAGTCACTGGACCTTGTATCTGAACATTTAGTACTTCCCTGCACTGCCTCTTGCTGGTTATATGAGCTGAAGCAAATCACTTAACCTTTCTGAAGACTAGTTTTCTATAAAATAAAAGAATTAATAAAGTAATAATACCTCACTAGAGTTGATATGAGAATCAAAAGAAATAATAAATATGAATGCTCCAAATGGTATAAATTGCTATATCAATGTAATATGTTATCAGTGTGACTTTTTTTTCCTCTCAATTCTTGGTGCAGACTCCTTTTTTAGGATTTATAGCATCTAGACACCCCTCCTTTGTTCTGAATAGATTGTATTTATTTCAGGACTTTTTTCTGTTTTCTTTAAGAGTCCTTTTGTCAATTCCAATTTTGTTAAACCAAGACAGGACCACCGGGAAACCTAAAACTAGAGGCCCAGAAACATGTTCTCCTGTCACAGGCCTTTGGTTACCCACACTTCCACCTGCAAACAACTAGCACAGGCATTCTAAAAGATTTGTTTTCTTTGCTACTAGATTTTATCAAAATGTCTATCAACCCTGTTAATTTTGTCATGACTTTTGATCAGTGTAATGTGATCTGGTCTTTAAATTACAGAGTTTTACATTCATTTTTAGATTAGGAGATATTTCAAAACAGAGTTTCTTAGGAAGAGGTGAAGGCAAGGATTAAGAAAATAATTTTAAAATTGGTGGGGCCTTGATGGTTTGAAAAAAATTGAGAAGTCTTACCTGAAGCATGTAAAGATTCTTTTCAAGAACCAGAAGGTCCACAAAAATAGTCCCAGTGACACTAGCTTAGGGGCAGTGAGAATTTGTGGTAAATAACCCCAAATGCATGGAGGCAGCCAAAATCTAGGATGGGTGGGCTAAAGAGTATTATTGGAGGTATCATAGTATGATAGTCTTACATGTTTTTAATTTAGCGTCACTAAATGTGCACAGTGCTGAGTGCAGTACAATGTATTGTAGATATGGGAATAAATCTGTAAATTCCTTGAACCAAATAGACAAGCTTTCTGCCCTGAAGGGACTCAAATTTGTAGGGTGGTGTTGGGTGTGTAGGTAATAAACAAATATGTAAATACATGTTACATGGTAATAATTGCTATTGTAAAAAAGCAAGGTAAGATGGCTAGGAATGGCATCGGAATTCACTGTGACCCAAGTCAAACTCATCTCAGATTTGCTCCCTCCAGGGTTTACCTGGCACACCAGTGACATTGATTAATGGCACACCAGTCATCCCACCTCAGAATCACCAACTGTTTCCCTCCTTCCACATCTAGTTGTTTAAAAAATGGCTTAATGTTCTTTAAGCCATTTATTTCTTCCTTACATTTTTACTGCCAACAGAACCCTATAATAAATGTCCCCATTGTAACCATCTGGTCTCCTGTCTCCAGATAGGACAGTTCAATACTGTGCTTCTGAAGGATATCTAGTGTGCTACAGAACATAGGGTGCAGAAAGAAGCCAATGGGCTATTAGGCCATTGCTCTCCTCCCTTGTGAGAAGCCAGTTTGTTTTTGTTGGCTATGGATCACAGGGAGTAGAGTTAAGGAAACAAACCAACCAAAAAAAAATAGCCATCCAGTTACTCACTATTTAATTTTAATGCTTTGCAAAATGCTTTCTGTTGTCTGTTACTTTTATTATTTATTTTCAGTCATATGCATTTCCCCTTCTCACCAAAGCAGAATGTAAGCAAGGTGGTTTTGTCCTGCTTACTGCAAGAAACTAAGTTGTGGCACATATTAGGTAATCCATAAAGTTATTGATCAATGAATGAATAACTCAGACTTTTCATCAAGACTAATCTGTCAGCCAGCCTGAATTAATGGAGTGGTTACTATGGAACAGCATGAGTGAAGAAGTTTGTGAATTAGATCTTGAGTTGGGCATGTAATCCCAGCACTTTGGGAGGCTGAGGTGGGAGGATTGTTTGAGCCCAGGAGTTAAGAGACCAGCCTGGGCAATATGACAAAATACCATCTCTACAAAAAATACAAAAATTAGCCAGGCATAGTGGTGCATATCTATAGTCCCAGCTACTCAGGAGGGGAATATGGGAGAATCTCTTGAGTCCTGGAGGTTGAGGCTGCAGTAAGCTGAGATCACACCACTGCACTCCAGCCTAGGTGACAGAGAAAGACCCTGTCTCAAAAAAAAAAAAAAAAAAAAAAAAAAAAGAATTGGATCTTGAAGAAGATGTCACCCCAATATCTTTAGTTAAGCAAAACTTCATAGAGAAAGGCCACCTCATAAAATCACGAGGAAGGGCAAAGTATAGGGAAGATTCAGAACCACAAGCAAAAAAATACAGCTAATGGGGTTGTCTAAGTAAAGAAAGTAAACAGCTCAGACGTTTCACTGTGCTTCGCTAATGCCTTCATCTTCATGTGTAAGGGTGCTAGTGCCAATGACTAGTTTCTTTACGGGTGCCATTGAATCAAAATCTTTCATATGTTTAAAACTTTTGAAATATATTGAGATAAGAGATCTCAAAGCCAGGTAGATAAGAGCACATATTCTGAGCATCAGAATACCTGGGTTTGAAAGCTGTTTCTGCCATTTACCTGCAGAGTAACCTGGGCAAGTTACTTCTAAATGTAATAATAAAATATCTACCTTAAACAGTTGTTATGAGGAATGCAGTTATTAAAATATGTAAGGTCCTTGAAATGGCGCCATGTTTATTATAATTGCTTTGTAGATGTTCAGGATTACTGCTCTTAATCCTTGTTCAGACTTATATTTAGCTCCAATTTTTTTCAGGAAACTTTATTAGGGTGAGATTACTGTAGTTAAGCTAAAGTGACATAGCTATTTTGAGCATGTTGAAAATAAAATAATTTTTGCAGTTTCTTAAATTTAATGTAAATTATCTGTGTGCAATATAATGCTAATGTCAACTCTATGTTCCAGTTGTGTGATTATCTTCCATTTAATTTTCAGGAGAATCCTCATTGACACTGGTGAACCAGCAATTCCAGAATATATCAGCTGTTTAAAGCAGGCTCTAACTGAATTTAATACAGCAATCCAGGAAATTGTAGTGACTCACTGGCACCAAGATCATTCTGGAGGCATAGGAGATATTTGTAAAAGCATCAATAATGGTAAACAGAAAACATTCATTAAGCTCATTGAGGAAAGCCATGTTTGGAGAATAATTTATTTCGGTTACAGAGCTAAGTAGTCTATAAACCATTTACTAAATACCTCAGATTTAATTGGTACTTTTAGAAATTGATGAGACTGTTGAATACTGTCCCTAGTTTTAACAAAGGAGGAAAGGAAAGTCCTGATTTCTGTTTCAAGTCCTCAAATTTACTTTAGTCTGTGTGACAATTACTATTCAGACTTAATCATAATTAACAGCTGTTGAGCATTTACTCTGTGCCAGGGACTGCACTAAACACTTTATGTAGATACTGTGAGGTAGGTGCTGTTACTGCTCACATTCTAACAGATAATCTCAGGCCTTCTGTAACTTTAAGGCAGTTACAAAGATATGATGAAATTCAAGCAAGATATCATTGTATTGATAATTCATTGTCCCTGAAACCTGTTCAATAATGACATTTTCCATCTCTTTATTTCCTCATCCCACCATCACACATCTAGATTCATTCATTCATTCATTCAGTAAACAAATATTTAGGTGACTGTTATATGTCAGACAGTGTTCTTGGCACAAGGGATATAGCAGTGAACAAAACAGACCCTGTTCTCATGGAGCTTTCATTCAAATAGGGAAGGTAATGGTAAATAAATAATAGTTCAGGCTGAGTGCAGTGGCTCACGCCTGTAATCCCAACATTTTGGGAGGCCAAGGTGGGTGGATTTCTTGAGCTCAGGACTTCAAGACCAGCCTGGGCAACATAGCAAGACCCTGTCTCTACAAAAAAATACAAAAATTAGTTGGGTGTGGTGCCGTGCACCTGCAGTCCCAGCTACTCAGGAGGCTAAGGTAGACAGATTGCTTGAGCCAGGGAAGCTGAGGCTGCAGTGAGCCAGCCAAGATTGTGCCACTGCACTTCAGCCTGGGCCACAAAGTGAAAAAAAGATAGATCAAATGATGATGGGTGTTATGCAGGAAAATAAATGTACAAGAAGAGAAAGGGAAAAGAGTAAAGTAGAGAAGGGCAGGGGCTGTTATATCCAGGGTGGACACAGAGAAGGAGCAAGCAGACAGCATTACAAGAGCAGAGATGCTAGAATGGGAGTATGGTTGGCACATTAGGGACACAGTAAGGAGGTCAAGAATATTCATGCTCATTTACATTGAGCTAATATTTTTAAACATTTGTAAAGATCTGCTTTTTTAGGCCTTGTGACTACAATTGGGACATCAACATGGTCTCAGCTACCCACTCAATGTCACCAGGCTTCCAGTTATAAAAAACTGACAACCAAGCTTCTTTACCCTCTTACCTCCTTTCTTCCAATCCAAGGGGATTGTGTACCACAGGAATTTATAATCTCTCAGTCTGACTTTTTCTTGCTTTTCCTTCTCTTGTCTTACTCTTTTACTCTTGTCTTACCTCTTCTTTTAATCTACCTATTAGATCTTGTGAATTAAAAACCTAGTTTATGCCAGGGATGGTGCTGTATGCTTATAATCCCAGCTACTCAGGAGACTGAGGCAGGAGGATAGTTTGAGCCCAGCAGTTCAAGACCAGCCTGAGCTACATAGTGAAACCCTGTCTGGAAAAAAAAAAAAAAAAAACACATATATATATATTCTGTGGTTACTTACTAAGCTTTGTCACCTCAGTCAACTCTTCAGATTTTTCAGTTTGAAAAATTAAAATATTTATGGCCCATGTTTTTCCTTCATAAATCAATTTCAATGAGCTTTAATTTACAGACATAAAATGTGCCCATTTTAAGTGAACAGTTTGGTGAATTTTAACAAATGTCAGTACCTATGTGACCACTCCCGTTAAGATACGGAACACTTCCTTCATTCCGAAAAGAGGTCCCCTCATGCTGCTTTGCAGTGATTTCCTCCTGTCCCAAGCCTCCAACAACCACTCATCTACTTTCTGTCACTAGACATTAATTCTGCTTATTGTAAAACTTCACATAATGGAAGTTTAAAAGGTCACTCTCTGTCTGGCTTCTTTCTTACAGCATCATGTTTTTGAGATTCACCCAGGTTTCCTGTTATCAAGAGTTTGGGGTCCCTTTTTCTTGCCAAGTAGTAGTTCATTGTATGACTGTACCACAGTTTGATTATGCATTCACCTGTTACCATTCACCTGTTAATGGACATTTGAACAACTTTATTTAAATTGGAAATTAAAATAGTTTTAGATTCCATACAAAATAATGAATATTTGTATAATAGATTAACCTATTTAATTGATTTAAAGAAAGTTAAGCAGAAATTTGACACTGCTTTTTATGCCCACTAAAATTTTAGTATTATATTTGAAAAGTGTCTTGCTGTCTTTCCTTAGTGAAAGCTAGACAGGCTGCATACACACCTTAAGTTGCTCAGCACTGAAATACAGATATACCTTCTAGAATCTTTCCCCCAGAAGTACCAGGTTCTTCATTCTCTAAATCCTTAATCCCTAACATTCTTGTTAGGATCCTAACATTCTTGTTAGGATGAGAATGTTAGGGATTGTGTTTTCTTGTTTTGTTTTGTTTTACTAGTGTTTACTTTGGTCCATGTTGTTTTCCTATTTTGTCTAATAATTGGTATGGTGGAAATTTTTCAACTACTTCACATTACTAAACCTGTATTTTTACAGGCCACACCTAAAATATAAATGCCATTTATAAGATTTCTATGGAAACATACAGTAACCTCAAAACGACCTGCTTACAAAATTATTGAACACAATCAGGGTATAATTTGGAACTCCTAGTGACTTAGAACCAGAATTTTACTACATATAAGAACTATGTAGACCCAGGTTGCTCTAGTATTTTGTTTTGGTTTGTGTTTTTGTTTTTATTTTGAGACAGGGTCTCACTCTGTCACTCACACTGAAGTTCAATGGCTCCTTCGCAGCTCACCACAATCTCTGCCTCCTGGGCTCAAGCGATTCTCCTGCCTCAGCCTCTGGAGTAGCTGGGATTACAGGTTCCCACCACTACTGCCCAGCTAATTTTTGTATTTTTAGTAGAGATGGGGTTTCACCATATTGACCAGGCTGATCTTGAACTGCTGACCTCAAATGACTCACCCACCTCAGCCTCCCAAAGTGCTAGTATTGCAGGCATGAGCCACCACACGCTGCCTGTTTTGGTTTGTTTTTAAGTAAATCTTTTAAAATGTATTTTCTTTTGTTATCTAATAATTTAAAATTATTTCGAAACTGAATTTGGATCTTTGCCACGTAATTCACATCTAAGAGTCAAATGTTTGCTTCTATCCTATTCAATTAGAATATTTTTATTAAACATTCATAAACAATATCAGGCATTTATATTCAGCTTAAATAATTCCCAGTACCAGTGATGTTGCAGTTATTCAAACCATAATGAATGATTCAGTTTGTTCCTGTTAAAACAATTATATGATAGAGACAGAAAATAAGTAAGTGATTGCCAGAAGCTGGGAAGGAAGGAATCGGAAGTGATTATCATTAGGTACAGAGTTTCTTTTGGGTGCTTTGAAAATGATACTAGTGATAGTTGTACAATTATTTAAATACACTTAAAAAACTTCTGAGTAATACACTTTTAAAGGATGGTTTTTATAGTATATAAATTACAATTATGATAAAGCTGCTATTAAAAATAATAATATTACATGATTGTTTTCAACATACCATTCTTCATCTTGCCTATAGATGGCTATTGTGAATAGGATATGTGTTTTCATTTATATTTACACATAATTTTGAAAACACTGAAAGATAAAATTATACAGATTAAAAACAAAACAAAACAAAACAAAAAACCTCAATATCTCTATCTTATTCTATAATGTCAATTCCCAAAAAAGCATATCATTGTTTTCCTTTGTCCTCAAAGATATAAAATGATAGAGTTTGGGGTTGGAGAAGGGAGATATATTTGTTGTTGTTTCTTTTCTTTTTATTTCAATGTTTCTGTCTCCTTTATCCTCCAGACTCGCACATTTTTATGCCTTGTCAATTTTTTTTTTTGAAATGTCTCTTTCTCCCTCATACTTCCAGTGCAACCCTAATATTCATTACTTTCCAGTTAGGGTATTGCAGTCATTCCCCTTCTGGTCTCTCTGATCTCCTTTTAGTCTCCCTACCCACAGCCACCACATTGATCATCAGTTAACACTATTTCATTATCCTACTAAAGAGTGTACAGTGATTACATATGATAAAGTTTAAATTCTTCTATTCTGTAAAAGGCAATTTAAGACCCTTTCTGATCTGAGCTCATCTTACCTATCCAACTTTATCTCCACTCTTCCCAGCCAGTATTTTGCAGTAGAAAAATTGGTAGCATTATATTGTCACACATATCATGCTCATTCTCATTTTAATGCCTTTTATAATGCTGTTCCCCTTACCTACAAGTCCTTTTTTGTAACTTTACGCATCCTGTTCATCCTGTAAGTCACACCTCAACTTCTATCATATTTATAAATCCTTTCTAACTTTCCTTTCTTTGAACTCACGCTGCCTTTATTAATATTCATTAAATGGTACCAAGTATAGTCTTTGTTTTGTGTTTGTAAGTTTTAGTTTCCCGACCATGACAGCTTTTAAGAATTTTGATATCACAGTGGTTGTATTCAGTATACCTACTATACTGGTTAGATAATTGGCACTCAATTGTTAATTGGTTAATTAACTTACTTTCTTTTTGTCAGTGAGGGGTGTTATAGATTAAGCTTATTTTAAAGGTTTAATATCTTAGCCACTGGTTTGGGCCTCCATTTCAGTACTCATGGCAAGGGCCTCATGATATCATCCTTTTGTTATTAATTACTGTCATGACACCTTTACTATATGTTAGGCACTTAGATAGAAAAAAGGTTCCAGGTTCTGTATTACTGTCTCTTCAACACCTGTCAGGTTGCCAAAGCTAGCTGAGATTATAAAGAACTACTTTCAGATTTTTTGTATAAACTAGGAGTTACTCAAAAAATTAGAGGCTTTCATGTAGACCTAAAGGGGCATGAAAGAATGAAGAGCTCTTTGGTTGAAAGATATGAAATAGTTAACATCCCAGAGATAACCTGTTTTAATTCATCCCATTTTCTATTGTCTCTTAGTGTTAATATTTTATACAGTCATTCACAAGTGTTAGCTCTATGAAAGTTGATCTATTAATAGGCTGAATTATCATTTAAAGTGTGAATTAATATATTTTACATGTTTTATGACTAGGCACTACCTATTGCATTAAAAAACTCCCAAGGAATCCTCAGAGAGAAGAAATTATAGGAAATGGAGGGCAACAGTATGTTTATCTGAAAGATGGAGATGTGATTAAGACTGAGGGAGCCACTCTAAGGTAAGTAAATGTCCCTTAGCCAGGGAAGGTGAAGGGTCTGTGTATATGTGTTATAAAAAAGGATGGAAAGATACCAGCACTTTGGAGGCTGAGATGGGAAGACTGTTTGAGCCCAGGAGTTCAAGACCAGCCTGGGCAATATAATGAAACCTGTATCTACCAAAATAAAAATTTTTTATTAGCTAAGCATGCTAATACATGCTTGTAATCCTAGCTATTTAGGAGGCTGAGGTAGGATCATCACTTGAACCCAGGAGGCGGAGGCTGCGTGAGCCAAGATTGCACTATTGCACTCCACCCTGTACAACTGAGTGAAACCCTGTTTCAAAAAAAAAAAAAGGAGGGACAGCAGATTTATGCATATGTGGGGGTATCTGTAAAGAGAACATCAGGAAGGATACAAAAAAAATCCAATAACATTGCTTACTCTGGGAGGAGAAAATGAGTCGCTTGAGAAATGAGAAAAGAAAGATTTCACTCTGTATTAAATTGTTTATTTGAATCATATGATTACCATTTTCTTAAAAAAGTAAAGTGTACATTTTTAAAAATTAGCACTGTCACCTAACGTGGCTTAGGGATCCCATATTCTCACTTCCAAAAGATGACCCATACCTAAATTAAGTTTTAGGCTTGACTGATTATACCTCATGACCTATTTGAGGGATTCAAAATGGTATTTCAAACTCAGTTATTTTAAAACCGAACTCCTCTCTTCCCTGCAATCTATACCTGTTTTCTGATCTCAGAACATCCACTATGCTCAGTACTTAAGACTTTACTCATTCTTCTAAGATAGAGGCTTCAGAATTATCTTGCACTGCTCTTCACCTTTACCATTCCCCTCCCCTTGCCCACCACACTAATCAGGTTATTTTTTACATCAAAAATATTTGTCAGCTGACACAAATAAATGAAAACACATCCAAGCTCACAGATGGGTGGGATCAATATTGTGAAATGACTATACTGCCAAAAGTAATCTACAAATTCAACACAATCCCCATCAAAATACCACCATCATTCTTCATAGAATTAGAAAAAAAAAAATTCTAAAATTCATATGGAACCAAAAAAGAACTCACATGGTGGTGCATGGCTATAATCCCAGCTACTCAGGAGGCCGAGGCAGGAGAATCACTTGAATCTGGGAGGCGGAGGTTGCAGTGAGCCAAAATCGTGCCATTGAACTTCAGCCTGGGCAACAAGAGCAAAACTCCCTCTCCAAAAAAAAAAAAAAAGGAATGAATTAAGAATTAATGCATTTGCCTGGATGACATTGGAGACTATTATTCTAAGTGAAGTAACAAAGGAATGGAAAACCAAACATTGTTCTCACCGATATGTGGAAGCTGAGCTATGAAGACACAAAGGCATAAGAATGATACAGTGGACTTTGGGGACTTGAGGGGAAGGGTGGGGGGCAGGAAAGGGATGAAAGACCACAAATAGGGTACAGCGTATATTGCTCATGTGATGAGTGTACCAAAATCTCACAAATCACCACTAAAGGACTTACTCATGTCACCAGATACCACCTGTATCCCAATAACTTATGGAAAAAAAATATATATCTGTGTGTGTGTGTGTGAGAGAGAGAGAGAGAGAATCAGCTAAGCACAGTGGCATGTGCCTGTAGTCCCAGCCACACAGGAGGCTGAGGCAAGGAGGATCACTTAAGTCCAGGAGTTCTCAGCTGTAGTGCACTATGCCAGTTGCGTGTCCATGTTAAGTTCAGCGTCAATATGGTGTCCTCTCAGACCTTAGGAGCTGGACCCACTAGGTTACCTAAGGAGAGGTGAACTGGCCCAGATTAGAAACAGCAGGTCAGGACTCCCATGCTTATCAGTAGGGGGATCAAGCCTGGAAATAGCCACTGCACTCCAGTCTGGGGCAACAAAGTAGAGAGCCATCTCTTAAAAAAAAAAAAATAGGTATACACACACACACACACACACACACACACGTTTGTCAGTGCTATCCCTTCTTCACATCCACTACCAATACTTCCTCCTTTATCTTACTGTCTCCAACTCTTCCCTTTCTAGCCTACCATCCTATATTGCTTGCTCTTGAAATATTTAATGACTCACTGCATACAAGATAATGTTTATTCTCTTTACCATACCACAGTCTGGCCCCAGGCCACTTTTCTGGTTTTCTCACAGCTCCCCTCACAAAAACACTTGGCCATGTACAAATACTCCTAGACATATGCCTGTTCATGCCTTTGTTTATTTCTTCACCCTTACTGGGTATTACCCTGTTCCACTACTTGTCTCCCTGGTAAATTCTCTTCAAAGCCAGGTTCACATGTTACTTACATCAAGAACCCTTTCTGGGAAAAACTAACCGTTCTTTTCCACTTTTGTACAAATTTTATTCTATGATAGCACTTACTGAGTTGTATTGTGGTTTTTGTATGTGGGGGTAAGTGTCTCCTTAAAAAGCAATCAGGTCCCTAAGTTCACAGTGTTAGTTAATGCCAATTGCCATAGCAAAACAACTCAGAAATGTTTAACGGCCCAAATAGGAAATCAGTTTCTTTCTTGCTCACATAAAGCCCCAAAAAAGTTCCCAGTTAGCCAGTGGCCCTCTGCAAGTAATGATTCATGCTCCTTTAATCTTGTGATTCTACTCTTCTCAAGACTTGTCTTTCAAGATTGGCATGCTCAGCTCAATCAATCCAGCAGGTAGAAGAGCGTGGAAGGGATATTGCATGGGAGATTTTCATGGACTAAATCTTCTGTTGTATTGGCCATCAATTCAGTCATAAGCCACCCCTAACTGTAGGGAGTCTGGGAAATATAGTTTAATTGTATGCCCAGCAAAAAAAAAGAGGAAATAGGTTTAGTAACTAGATAGCCATTCTCTGATACAGGTAGATACCAGGTTCATCTTCATATCCTCAGCCTCTAGCACATAGAAGGCACTGAATATTTATCTTGCATAGTGTTAGTATCTATAAAGAGGCAAGTAGATGAATCGATGAGTAAGAGAAAATGAAGTAGTAGATGTCTATGTCCTCTTTTAAACTGGTGCCCCCTTTCTTTTACTGTATTGTGATTTCCAAAATGTAGTTTAGAAACCTGGTAGTTTCTGGACAGTTTCATTTCAATGCTCTTGTTGAAAATATAGCCAGGTGTGGTGGCTCACACCTGTAATCCAGTACTTTGGGAGGCCAAGGCAGGTGGATTGCCTGAGCTCAGGAGTTGAAGACCAAACTGAGTAACATGGCAAAGCCCCGTCTCTACCAAAAATACAAAAAAATAACCAGACATGGTGGTGTGTCCCTGTGGTTTTAGCTACTGGGGAAGCTGAGGTGGGAGGATTGCTTGAGCCTGTGAGGGCAGAGGTTGCAGTGAACTGAGATAGTGCTACTGCACTCCAGACTGGGTGACAGAGCGAGACTTTGTCTCCAAAAAAAAAGAAGAAAATATAATAGCATGTTATATAATTTGCTCATGATACATAGGAGATTTGGTAATCACAGTACTGGTTTATTACAGTTATCATAGAATCATGGGTATTCATTAGATCTATACCTAATATTGCAGATTAAAAATATGCAGTCATTTGATATTAACTGCCATCCAGATGGAACAGGACATTTAAAAAAAAAAAAAAAAACTTCTTATCGAAGTATAATATATAAACAGGAAAGTACACATAGCAAAAATGTACAAAGTAATGGATTTTCCCAAATTGATCAAGGCCTATAAGCAGCATTCAGATGAAGAAACAGAATAGCATCAGTGTCCCAGAAATCTCCCTTGTGCTTGCTTCCCCTTCAGTTGAATGCTGTCTTGGGTTCCTGGAGTGAATTGATGCCAAGGATTCCAAATATTATATGAATTCTATTTAATTTTTGTTTTACTTCACTCTGATGGGAATCTATGTAAAGATTTAAGAGGAAAACTGACCAAAAAAATCAAAAACAGACACATTTTTTAAGTGACTAGTAGTAAATAATCTTTTCTCAAAATACAAATTCTCATTATGCTAAAACCTGGATAAAACATTTAATTTCCTGATGACCATGGTTTTCAATTTGCACTTTCATGAAGTAAGAAAAACCCAACTGTTTTCAATATAAACATATAATATTTTAAGCAAAACTTTTGTTAAGCTAGCTAGTGAAAAGACATTTGACAAAGTTCAAATCTGTATAAATAACAGCATTTAAGAGTTTTGTTCAGCAAAAATTCCATAAATAGAAAGTTAAAATCTGCCTAAGTCCTCATGTGTTCATTGGCCAGTTGATGTTGCCTACTTGCCAACTTTACAAAAAAAAAAAAAAAAAAAATGCAGTAGGGACAGAGATAATACCCACCAAGAACCCTTGCAGTAAAAAGAAAACTAGAAAGGTTTTTCAGTAAGAATTTGATTCTGGATATAAACTAGCAAGCTAAGTTTAATTTCTTGAAGAAAAGTCAGTCTGACAGTTTTTTATCACTGTCCTGAATTCTCTGAGAGAGTCATCCGTACAAAGTCTGCTCTATCAGAGAAGTAATGGAACTAGATAAATTTTCTACCTGATGAATAGGAAGGCCATAGCTGCAGTTCCTGTGATCTTTAGCAAAGCACCTCTGATGTCATTTCCTTTTCTCCTCCTGCCTGTGTGAAGTGAATTTTAACAGTTTTATGCAAATTACAGCAGCCACCCAGGTAACTAGAGAATTGAGATTACTGATTCCCCAATTTTAAAAACTCTGCTGCTTTAAAAAACATCACAGAAAGCAATTACTGAGTTCTGGTATGGTAGGGGGTCAGAGAGGGCTGATAAGGAGGCATTGCAAGCACATTGACAGATAGGAGTTTTCAGACGAAGAATGGTTCTCCAAGTGAGTTTTTGTAGATTAAAAACAGAAAGATTGGGGTTCTGTTTGTTAATGCATTCTATGTATTCATAAGATTGTCCATAAGATATGACACACACAGACACATATTTGGAATTATTTTCATATAATATTGAATACTTTTATTAACAGCTTGCAGCA